AAGAGACCTGAGCAACATGAAATGTGGCTTCAGTTTGTTATCCAAATTTTGCCGTGGATGGAAAGGTTTGTCACATCTTAGTGATACTCCTCATGGAGAGGGCTCATTTGCAATTGTACTTTTAGATCCTTAGCAACTGTGATGGTTCGGGTCGTGGAGCAGCTTTGTAAAAACATTGAAACTGCAATCAGTGCTTCTTTTTCGAACAAGAGCACAAAGGATACAGGCAGCTCCATCATAGGTTTGAAAGAAGATGTGCAGAGCTATCCCGCCTGCTTCATCACAATGGTTAGTACGCAGTGGAACTGTGGAACGCAGTAATTTTCTTAATCTTGTGATGAGCATGCAAAACTCAGTCACTTTAGACATTGGAGACTATTACCACCTTGATTCATTTTTGCTTGATTGATGCGCCTGCCGCTGGATCTACTACTCAAACATCTACACCACCGCCAGTCACTCCAGCAGCTGGCGGAACTAGCGTAGTTGGGCAGGTTGGCACTATCATTTACAATGTTTGACGTAATAACATCAATTCAATTTGAGGCAATGGCTGTAATACCCGGCACAAAAGGCGCGACGGAATTATTTTCCAATTTGGTAAAAGTGTTCAGCTTCAGTGATTCAACATCGGTAAGATTATTTTCAAAACTTTTTTTTTGATAAAGAACGGTTGTCAGAATCTTCTCCTTATCGATAAATTCGTAGCTTCAGGGTGCTGGTGTAAATCTTTCGAAAATAGAAGGTTCGAGAGGGAGTATTGCGCTGCGGCAAGCTCGCAACGATATGCTCACCTCACTCCCTCATGCACTTGCTACTATCTGCGATTTGTGGACTGTGATAAGGAGCAAAGAAGAACCGCGTCTGCCGTTAGGATCACCGCAGGTTTGTGGACATTGTATTTGTAATTGTAGAATCCAAAAATGAATAATAGTTTTGTTACAGCAACTTCGACAATTAGTCTTAGATTTACTGTCGCCTATTGCTCAGCATCATCAGCAAGCGTTTCTTACATCTCTTTCACTAGTTTGGCTGACACGATCGGGGGCCGGTGTAAATGCATCCAGGAAAATCGATTCTGACCAGGTCGGTTAAGCAATTTTCGCAGTTTTTGAACTTTGGGTGCCCCAATCTTTTTGAAATTTTTTGAATTACCGCTTATTACTTTCCACTTCCTTCTCAACGTTGCTTCTTTATTAGCTGCTATTGGAACGCTCACTAGTAGTGCTCTTTACAGCCGAACTTTCAATACACCTCCTCCCAGCATGACATTGCGAATCTTCTTCTGAGTTTGAAGGTGATATCTTTTGAAGAACT